AAGGTTTTTGCCAAGAGGCAGGACTGAAGTGCCCGCTGTGTAAGGACCCCCTTGGCAATTGGTCCATACGAAGCAGGTGAAGGAACAAAACCAGTCTGGCGAAAGGCCCTGACAGGTCGAAGAAAAGCTGCCATAGCAAGAACGGCATCGCAGGAAAACGCGAGGTGTGAGTTTATGGGCTCTGCGTGCCTCCGTCACCCGCAAATGTGGTCAAGTTGGAATTCAAGGAATCCAGGAAAATGCCTGCTTGTGTCAAATGTCAGTTGCATATGCCTGAGAATGCACACCGCTCGTTATGGATTTGGCAGCACGTGGCAACACCCATCCGCACAACCGGATCAACTCCAAGTTTGCATAGACGAATCTCACCCCGTCCAAACTCACCAAAACAACGTTCTTGTCAAGGCATTGTGGTTTTACTGCCGTGCAGGATCTGTCATTATCTTGGGCCTCAGGAATCGTTGAACGGGCATACGTCAAGTCATTATATGTCAAGCATTGTTCAAGGGTGCTCTTGATCTCATTGCTCTAATTGCCCCCGGTGCTTGGCTTCCATTGGCACATCCGGCGCTTCCTATTTTGTCTCGCGTGAATGGCTCGCAAGGCAACCGGTTGCCCGATGCCTGCGTCCAGGTTTACAAACATGCCCAAAGGCTGCTCCAAACTGTCCACGGTGTGCACGAGCTACAAGGACTCAGCAGTCTTTTTTCGCCTTTTGCCGCTGCGCTTTGGCACTCGCATGTGGGTTCCATCTTCGCTTTGCAGCAAGAGCTCTGGAAGCGTGGAAGCCGATATAGGCTTAGGTGAGGAAGAATGTGACACGCTTCCCCGCTGCCATCACCCTGCTCTTGGCAATCTTTTCACTCGGCCTTCTTGATATTAAAGGCGCAAGTTTGCCCCTCAATCATGAGATGGTCCTCAGGGCCGGTTTAAAGAGCTGCAGTTTACTCAAATTGCTTGATGGGGACGGCCTCGATACCACCAGTCCTCGAAGTAGCAGACACGGTCACCCACCTGGACCTCTGTGTCCAGGCCACTGGCTGCAAAGAACACCTCGGTCACCTCTGTATCGTCCCCGCCCTGCACCAGAGTTGTGTGGGTTTTCAAGCTGGTCAGTCCCAATCAGTACTCAAAAGACATGTCCCCGAACCCCAGTGTGACCCGAACCTCTTGCTGATCTGCACGAATGAGGCCATAGCCCTTCTCGGCGTTGAAAAGGACCACCTGCAGGCTGCGGCAAGCCATTCAACTGGCCACACTGTCTCATTCATCGGCGCTTCTTGAAACGCTCTCTCAAAACCAGCCAAAAGTGAGCAGGTTTTCCTCGTATGGTGCTCTCACCTTCCTGCAACCTTTGGGCAAAATTGAAAGGAGAGTTGGGATGAGTTGTCTGCGCATCGTTAGCAAGCCTTTTCAAGTGAAATGTCTTTACAGGATCAAAATCCCATTCACGTCCACAGCCTCTCCAGCTGCTTCTTTGGCTGCCGATTCTGTTGCGCCTAGTCCGGGCAAATCTTCTTGGACGATGACCTTTACGCAAACTCTCACCTTCATTCACCTTCAACAACATTATGATGTGAGGAATTCCATGTATTTCCTTCACCTTCAATTCACCGTGCTAAAGCTTGGTCTGGCGGATGCCTTGCACCATGAAGCCACCATCTTGGAACGTCCCAGGAAGACCCTCGCATGCATCGCGCAAGATTCGGCGACTTTCATCATCCAGCGGCATCTTCCTGAGTGCAGCTGAATCAAGTGCCAACGGACTTGCTGAGCCTGCCCCACAAGCGCGGGCAACTCGGCGATACCGGGCTAAACCTACATTCTTCAATGTATGCCTCACAATGATTGCCTCGCCCAATTCCCCTGACCGTCATCAAATGCTTAAAACTCGACCTTGACCGTCCCAGCTCACGTGGGATTTTAGGATTTTGAGCTGCAAGGTGCTCCAGCCGCTTCAGCTCTTCGATGTGTTCTGCTTGATCAGAACGACGTGGACAAACCAAGCGTAAGCCCATAGTGGCGTCAATGTTTCAATAGGACTGGTCACTGGTCCCGAAGTGGACCCTGTTGGGGTCTCACTTTATGGAAGCCATGCTCTGTGTTTTCACGGCCTTAAGTTCTTTATATACGTGTGGCAAGACTAAGTTTGTGGCCTGTGCAAGAGCCCCCGTATAGCAGGTGCTATCCAATTCCGATGTTCTATCTTGTTTGAACCCTTGAGTTGATGACCTGACATGTTGAGTGGCAAACTGTGCCAGACCTGCATCATGTCTGCTGTCTGCGGGGCACCTGTAAGCCGAAAGCTTGAGCGACAATGCCACAAATGGCCCGCAATCACGATGAACCAGCTCACCCTGGCAGCGCCCACATGATGCGCAAGTTTTGTCATCGGCCCTCCTGCTCTGACAAGCACGGCCCAGAGCCCGCAGTAGGTGAATCACTCTCAGCACCCGTGGCACTCAGCCAGGCTTCCAAGGGCACGCGGGTGACGTTGTCATCAGACCTGAAAACATTGAAAATCAGCCAGGCTGAAACAGAGTGGAAGTCACAGAAGAAGCCAGCAGAATGGTGCATCTTGGTGGCGTATCATCAGCCGCCAGGCTCTGCATCTCTTCATCCACAGGGCTGGAGCGACCGAGCTTCCTGATGAACACTGTTTGTGAGGGTAGGAACCGGGATACTTTGAGGTTAGAATGGTACTCTTCGCGCGTCTCCTCGCACGTACCCGTCGTGGTGATCCAGATTTCTCCATGTCTCTGCGGCTTAGCCCATAGGCGCGAAGAAGATTTCGGGCAACCTTCACAAAGTAAGTTTTGCGCTAACGTTGGAACTGCTAGCTTCTGCCAAGAAACCAGGCACAGTCCAAGCATCACGAAAAGGAGGGAAAAAGCTGCAAACAGAGTTTCTGCAACTGCCTGGGATGGCCGCAACCAAAATGCCAACTGTGCTTGTTCTGTGATGGGTGATTTATGAAAACACTGACTAGCTGCGTGGTTCGAAGTTTACGCTTAAATATTAAAGATCATTAAAGTACAATTTGTGGAGTGGAGGGGGCATTTCACGAATACAAAAGCACCTGTGCTTTAATTTGGGCAGGTCTCGGGTTTGCCTTTCTGATGTGGAGTGTTCAGCCCGTTGCCTGCCATGAAAGCGATTGGTACTGAAGTATATATGTCAAAATATTCGTCATTCACCCCGTCCGCCTGAGCGCACGCTTTGCGGCGGCTTTGGCCTCTGCGTAAAGCTGGGGCATTGGCTGTGAGCCAATCCGAGCCGCGAGGATCTCAGAGCAAGTGCAGGTCACACCCTGCCGTTGTTTTGTCTTTCCTCAAATTAAGTTATTAATAGAATATATCCTAGATCGTTTGTCTATGCCTATCTTCTGCCAGCGGCTTGCCGCTTCCAATCTGGCTGGGAGGTGCAATCGAGCGTCTGTGTGTCGAACACTACCATCTGGTTGATCATGAAGGTGGCACCGAGGACCTGGACTGCCCCGCGTTCCCTATCCGCCCTATCCGGTTTTAAAAGTTTATATAAGTCTAGCTTCGAAACAAAGATGACACAATAGCGTAGCTAAACTTTCTCCAGGCACAAGCGAAAAGCAGGGAACTAGGTCCCAAACTGTCTCTGGCACGGCACCGTTGCTTTCAAAGCCAAGGCAGTGCAAATCTCCCGTTTTCCGGTAGAGATAGGAACTTGCTGGCCAGAACCTTCAGCACGAGTGGCTGGTGACACCCAGGATATTGTGCGGTCTATGGAATAGAACAGGATAGAACAGTCAATAATCGCTCTCAAGCACTGGTGTATTCACCTCAATCTCTTGGCACCAAGATGCATCACCGTATTCTTGGAGAAGGTGAAGACAATTCTGGGAAAGGCCTCGAGGCTTCCTGCATTGATCAGTCTGGTCTGCTGATGTGACACGAAAACTACACAAGTCACGTGGCCCAACGAGCTGCATGCTCTGGCAATGTGCTTCCGCCACACCTGCCTGATACCTTCCAACAGGTATTGCCAGCAGGTTGCCCACATTTCTGTTCGCAAACAGCCTTGACCTTGTCGCCGTGGCAGTTGCAACAAACTCCCAGCTGGCATTGGCGTCAACTACTGTATATATACATGTGGAAATCAAATCCAGTCTGAGTCAGCACGTGAACGTTGCAACCATCCCTTTCACTGTTTACTGCACATTTACACGCTACACGGCTGTGGGTCAAGAAGGGAACCCCTGAATCTTAGATGCGACCCCTCTCCAGCGCAGCCAAAGCTCTGAATCCCGTAGTTGCCGGTAGAGTGAATTTGGAAGGTACGTGTAGGTCCTTGGCACTCCACTGAAGAACAAGGGTCACAAGGTGGGCACCCGCAACACCCAGAACATCTTCAGATTAAAGCAGGCAAAACGAGTTCAAGCAAGCATCGTGCCAGAGTCGACGAAGGTGCGTCCAAAGCCTGTGCCTGTTTGAACGTTGAGTTCGAAAGCTCTTCTGCCGCGTCAAGAACCAGCCGAGCCTAACTCTATGCCACCTTCCACTGCTAGCTTCGAAAGAGTGATGCCTTAGCCACAATGCTAGCAGCTACCCACTCTGGTACTCAAGCGCGCGAGCACTGAAAGAACTCGCCAAAACCTCTGAAAAGCTGCCATAAAATTGCTGAGGCCTCATAGGAATCCAGTCCACCTGAGTCCAAGTTGGTAGACAAACCACACAATTTGTTCTGGGAAGCAACTGGAATTGTTTCTTGGATCATGCTGCACAAAGACAGCAAGGGCTCTGCATCCGAGTTCCAACGTTATGCACTGCCAATATCTTGCACAAGTTAGCTTCCTACGCCCTACTACAAAAGCAAAAAACAGGACTGTTCTTGCTGTGTTTCAGCCGGGGAGCATGTGCTGCGAGAGATGCATTGTAGCCACCCACTGTTAGCAGACCTCCCTCTGGAGCAAGGCACATGGAGAAAATGGCAGCATTCACATGCGCACGGTCCTGTCAAGTTGCATCTCAAACGCACAGTTGCCTCTGTAATCCTATATGTTCTATTATGTTCTATTTTGTATATGCACATGTATGTTTACTGTGTTAAATAAGCAGAACAATGACAACAATAAAAGGAACAACGAAAAAATTTGAATTTTTGTCGTTATATACTAATACATCATTATGTGGGTATTCATATGGGTATACATATATATATATAGAGATAAGTTGAATCAACTAATATTGAGAAGCTCTGCTCCGGAAAGCTCCTTGAAAATCTCCTGAAGGATGGTTGGAGAGCTTGATGATGGCGCAAGACCCATAATGCCATTGGCCTTGCACCACTTTGCTTTTGAGTACACCCTCACGCCCGGCCCGCCCTCACCAACCAACAGAGTGTGGCTGTCGATGCCCCTGGCCTTCTGAGTAACGAAAAGTCGGGTCTCCCGCGTGTGGCAACCCATGTGCACCTGCCCATGCAAAGCTTTGCCCCTAAGGCGCATTTTGTCATGCCAAGACCTGCCTGCTTTCTTACCGACTCTTGCGTACCCAATCTGCTAAGTCGCCTTCACTGCAGGGTTCTGCTGAAACTCGTCACCCAAAGAGACATAGTCAGTGAAGCGAATACCTTGGCAGCTGCAAGGCAAGTGTCTGGGAACCAGCATGAAGAATATGACACGCACCAGAGCTGCACGGTATTGACATCAAGAAGATTGACCAAAAAATATTCCGCACAATCCATGCCAGCCACCCTCAATAGAGCTTCCTTCGGTATAGGACTGCCGATAAGCACACTTGTTGTGCCTGCAGGCTGCTGGGGATCAACCAAATGTTCTCTAAAAATCTAAGTAGCTTCCTGGAAGAAGCGTGAGCTATCCTGCGTCCAGTTACTAGAAGCTAACTGTGGTCGCTCTGAGTTTTTACTTAATCAAGTAGGCACCTACTTAATTGTATAAGTAATAAGACAGGGCCACGGGCTTTAAAAGAAGGAAGTCTCTGGACTCTCTGTCTCTTGCACCGGTCACTTCTGTTTCAGGGGCCTGCAGGTGGAACACGTCTTGTCACAAGGCATCCACTGCGCACTGGTGGAGAGCGAAAAATCGAAGTTTGCATCTAAATGATGGCCGCAACTTTGGCAACCCGTGCAGGTGAACGCGCAAATGGTGCTTCCTGCACAATCTGCCACGAAGTAGCATCAGCACACAAACACAACCTCTCTCTCTCTCTTCACAACTAAGCCGTGTTCAAGTTTTATAGACAGGAACTAATGCACAGGAAATTCCGTTGCAAACAGACATCAGTCCTGTATCTGCGATGACGGAAGCACGTTGTGGCAGTGGAGTGCCCACCTTGCATCTGGACATTCAGACTCTCTTTCCAGCTTGGTACACTGCACTTCTTGATTTGTGGGTGTCATGCTTGCCCAAATGCCCTGCTAACATCAGACTCAATCGTGCAGTCTAGTAGACTCACAACAATGAACAAGGATGCAGTTTGCAAATGCAGTAAATTTCCTACTGCATCCTGGAGAGTTTGGTGTGGAGCTCATGGGTGAAGCGATTGAGTCACTCCGACAAATCCCTGGCCCCGTCTCGCTGGCAAGAGCAGCCGTGAGGCTAAAATGTCAATGTAGTAGTACTGATATGACACCACGTTGCCATAAAGGCGGGCAGATTGAATACCTGAGTCATCAAGCTTTGCGGTGGCGGTTACTATGAAAGCTTCAGGCAGACTAATAACTACAGTATTCAATATATACGTAACCCAAGTCAAATGGAGTAGCCTAGGTGTCCGCTTCAGGGGTTGAATGCGAAAGGTAGCTTGGCATGAGGCGGGAAACCACTGGGGGTTGGAGAAGGCAGAAGGGTGGTCACTTGGGAATGCCTCTTGGTGAACACCTACACCAAGTAATCTGGTCGGGTAAAGCGTGTCAGCTGCATTTCTCTCCTTGCTCAATGTTGTGTGCTGTCGTCAATCCCAAACAAAACTAACATGGTTCCACACACACTACCTGATACAGCATGGCAATGCTGCTTTGGTTTTGTTCCGTGTCTGTGCCGTTGTCTTTCTTCAGCTGCGCAGCGTCTCTCAGCGTCATAAAGCCTTCGAGGTCCCACATCTGCGTCCCTGCAGTACGGCAAGGTCGGGAGAAAAAGATGTTCGTCCCAGCTGTATTTGTGGGGTACTGGGTGCCGGCATCTCAGGTCCGGCAATGTAAGACATATCGTGTTGCATGATCAATGATCTTTGTTGCTCTTCACATGCCAGGACCAGGATGAAGACATCCTGTAATCTTGACCAGCCACGCCCAAAAAAATCACATTAGTGCAGGCCGGCAGTGCATAAACACACTGCGCAATCACGCTACTGTTCACAAACAATGCAAGAGCCCACAGTAAATGAAGCGACAAAAGCTGTGCATGTGAGCGTCTGGGCCCTCACATTCCCATGATTCATCAGCCCATGGCAAAGCTGACAGGCGCGTTGTCTATTTCATTGGCAACTTCGAGTGTTGTGAGTCCAAAGATGCCACAAAATACCAGACTAGTGAATCACTACATACGCCAGGCTAGTGGGTTGGCAATTCTCTTGCAAAAAATATATATTTGCTATAGTACTGTAGTAGGCCAGGATTCAACAAGCAGTACAAAGTGACATCATGTATCTGCACAAAGTATCCTGCTCTAAGGAGCGTTGCAGCATTGCATCTTGTTCAATCGACATGGCTCGTTCAAGTCAGCCAAAACCCTTCTAGTTGCCGCACTAGTTGCCTAAACCAACAGACTTCCAAGGAAGGGAACGTTCCCGACTGCTGCCCATGTATGTAATTTCATGTACACCTTTGCCATGGAGGTGCTCAGTAACATGAAAACACCGCTGGTTGTGTTGATGATGATTATGTGAATGGTGGGGCGGATTCACACACCAGGGCTTCCAATGGGTAGCATACTGAAGGCACCAACGCACAAAATGCTCAGCACTTCAGCCTCAGGAAAATGGACGGCGAAACCTGGCTCTTCACAATTGAAAGTTGCATAGCGCACCAACACTTGGGCAGGTTTGACTTTGCTAGCACATATGCTAATCAAGGACTGCCGCTTTCATATCAACAACTACGAGACTATGAAGCACCTTAAATGTCGTATACTGTAGTTGGGTTAGGTCCTTTCAGGTGATGAGGCTTCACGATCCCGAACATTTCTGTTTCGTAAATGAGGCGGTGTGGCTTCAACTCGAGACCTTGCCAGCTTCCTGCTTTGAGCTGAGCAACCTTGGCCATTGAGAAATGTAACAAGGGGCTTGGGGGCTTTGCCCATAAAATGCATATACTGTGCAGCATCTGAAGCTCAAATACCTTCCGATATCTGAGGCGACCTAGTAATTAACAAAGTCATCCCTATCTGTTCATGCGACCATTTGCTTGGGCAAAGGCAGCATCCCACAAATCGGGGCCTAACAGTGCTTCAACGATGAGAAGCAATAGGCACAAAACATTGAGTCAGCTGAAGGATCAAGGGATGCTCCGGTGGCTAAGACGGTTACGAAGCTTCGGACTTCTATTGCTGGCCGAGGTGGAGTGCTGGGCACCCCTACGCGGATCACAAGCGCCGAAAGCATCCACCTGGGCATCGCGCTTCCCATGACCTGCTTTTATGGCAAGAAGCTGTTTTCGAAACCAAGCCTGACGTGTTGACGTCAGCTGGGCAGCAATAGATTCCTCAAAGCTTCGGAATTGCCACACAGATTGTTGAGGAGCAAGAAGATACTAGGAACAAAAAGCTACTAGGAGCAAAGGGCATCGCTACTAGGAGCAAGGACGCTACTAGGGGCTCCTGGCATCACCACTAGGAGCGAAGATACTAGGAACAAAGAGGTCCAAAGAGTTAATGCTGATTAGAATTGATTACAGTGTAGACAATACGAAGGAGTAAGGTTCGACTTTCGGCTGTAGCAGGGCTCAGGGGAGCCCCTCACTCAGGGCTGCACAACAACTCCGCCCCAAAGAAGTGATCCTCGTGGACAAGGGACCTGCTGGGCGCGAAGAACCCTACAATACACTGACATCCCTACACTGACATGACATCACATATGCAGGCATAAATGCAAGCATGCGTCTCAATCTCAATCCATCTCCGCAAGTCCTCCTAAATCTGTGCTCAGTGTCAGTGTATGCAATATATATATATAATATATATATATAATATATATAATATATATATATATATTGTCCAGGTCATGTTGCCAGGCTGAGCAGCAAGCGGGCGTCATACCATTTGCCAAAGCCACCGCCTGGCAAGCATTCCCCTACTGAGTATGCCAAAGGTTCAGACTCTTGATGACTCGTGGATGAAAATGCCATAAAATGCACTGAACCACTATGACCAGGCTGCTCTCACTAAGGCCACAGAAAGCCCAGAACCGGATCCAAAGATCGGAAATCAAAGTCGTCAGGAGCACAGTTGCCATCGGCAACACAGGTTGTTGACCATCGCCAAGAGAAGACTGGATCCGCCTGCTAGATCGGACATGTCTGCAAGGATTATCAAAGAGCTGAGCTCTTCATCAAACATCGCCTTGTAAGCTCGTTTGAGATTTCCTCCTGTCAGGATGGAGAGCCCAAACACAAACAGGCATAGATGGAATGAGCTTGCATTCAACACACAGAGCAGGGGAAGGTCACGCTAGAGAGGGAGAGAGGACAGAGAGACAAACAAGAGATTCACACGGCGTCGGGTCCCATATCTTTATTGGTGCTTCTTGGATTCCACCTGTTTCTCCACCTCTCCATCCCTCTGAGAGGCCAAACAAGAGCCACTCAGCCTGTGAGATTCTCTACCTCTCGACGAAATCCATTCTGGCTTCAACAAGCTGTTCTTGGATTCCTCCAAGCCCGTCTGCTCCAACTCCAACAGCTCCAAGAGTAGCTCTGTTGGAACCTCCGCCTGCCATCATGTCCGTCTAATCGCATTAATGCGCCATGCAATGCGTCATGGCCGGCCGCTTGCCTTCTGCAACCTCAAACCAAGCTGCCGCACAACAGCTTGCAGCACCTTGAGCCGAACTTGTCTTCAAGCCTTCAAGCCGATTTTGGAAAGCGAGAGGCGGCCTTCACCGCACAGGCCACGGGCACCTGGCATTGCAGAAAACTGAATGATGAACAGCCAATGCGCAGGTGACTGTAGCACCAAGTGCCTAATCCGCCGACCCCGTGGTGCAGCAAGGGGGAGCGCGCCCCGAAATGGTATGTTCTGTTGTATCAATTGTGGCCATAAGGTGTGCTACTGCTTCTTTATCTAGAAATCCCACCCCGAAGTGTTTTTGGTGCTCGGTGCACAGGTTTCTGTGCCCCTGCAACAGTGGAATTGCCTGCCGAGATCCCAGCTCGAAGTGTCTTTGGTGCTCGGTGCACAGATTTCTGTGCCTGGAACAATGGAGCTCTGTGCCCCAACAGTGGAATTCCTGCCAGAACCTTGATTTTTTTATTCCGTTCAGGAGTGGCGTTTGGCGGCAGAGGGACGGCAGGAGGCTGTTTCGTCACGCCGTGCCAGGGTGCTTTCCTGATTCGAAGGGTGTCTTGTGGCTTGGCTTGTGTGCCTGGAACAATTGCCTGCCAGACCCTTGATTTTTTCATTCGGTTCAGGAGTGACGTTTGGCCCGGGCAGAGGCACGGCAGGAGGCTGTTTCGTCACGCCGCGCCAGGGTGTTTTCCTGATTTGAAGGGTGTCTTGTGGCTTGGTTTGTGTGCCTGGAACAATTGCCTGCCAGACCCTTGATTGATTTTTTCATTCGGTTCAGGAGTGACGTTTGGCCC